CGCTTTTCTCGTGAAACAGGATGCGATGCCGCTTGACCCAAGATTCTGTTTTTCCTTTATTACGCCCCTGAGAATGTGCAGTCGGCCGTAGAATCGGCAAATTAAATTTTGGAAAGTACGAAAATTCAGTGAACCTGAAACCAGCCTCAGATTTTTGCGTCGAGTGGCCTAAATTGCTATAATTTTGTTAAATCGAAAAATTGCAAGACATGCCTCACCCGGCAGAAAGAATGGTATCATTCTGGAATGGGATGCATTCAGAGATGATGCCAATCCACACCAAACTCAAACGCTGAAATTAATCGTAGCTTGCCTCGGTGGCAGTGACCTTAAAACAAAAACAAAAAACATAAATAATCTTGGAATTTCAATCACAATAAATTTTACACCAGATTTCTGAGCGCTTGTAACTATCCAAGAAGAGTATAAATGTAATAACGTCGTACTTTATTCGGAGAATAATTTGCGATCGGAAGTTCACCACAAAATTCATAACGACGTATACGATCGCTAAACATTTACTGTAGTAAATACTCCTTTGATTCATTATAATTTATTTGTAAAATGTATTTTCATTGTTTGAAGAAACAGCAGCCCCATTTCACGAAAAGCTTCCAGATCGCCCAACACCTTCCCCCAACAATTATTATATTTAATAATAATTAACAATAATTATTATTTAATGTTGAACGTTTCAAAGAGCCCGGCAGTGTTGCTGATGAGCCACGCACTCATTAATTAAGATGAACTCGGACGGGCGGAATAAACGCTGCGAAGCGATGATCACGCGACTCTGACTCGACTCGAGTTATTGCTTGCCGGTACTTGAGTAGAAGAGTTCCTAGCACTGCTTTTTATTTATTTATTTCATTTTCTTACATTTTTTCAATGAATCATTTCATTAGAATTCCTAAGTTGATAGAAATCTTGAGAAATGTCTGTTACTGCATAGTAATGAATGAGAAACCCAAACATATGGCTTGACTTGATGGACTGCAAAGCTAAGCAAGCGTCATATTTTTTTCATCAGAGTTGCGGTTGCTGTATGTGACACCGGAGAAGTTGAGTTCGAGTGCCAAGCTGACTAGGGCCTTACATGGCCTTTATCAGAG